GCCGCGCAGAGAGGCCCAGGGGCATGTCGGAGAGGGCGACGCCATCTGAGAGCGGAGGCGCTTCGGGGCTCTCTTCGGGGACGGCAGGTTTCTCGAGGCCGAGGCGAGGGCCTCCAAGCCGTGCAGGGTCCGCGGCGGAGGTGCGCGCCCAGCCCATCCTCGCGTTGTGATGTTCGGCCGTTTTGCTATGTTTCGCTATCTTTCGCCATGCTTCGCTTTCTGATCTCACGACGGAAGGTGCTTCGCTAGTTTGCGGGCTCGGGGGGCCCTCGCCGGGCCTCGGGAGGGTCGACAAGCGACTCAGGAGGAGAATGAGGGGGTCCTGGGACACACGGATAAATACATGCAAACAACAGGATTCCCCATATGTTCCCACATATTTTCTGGGCTTTCGTCCTCCCCCCACCTCCCGTACTTGCCCATATCTTCCAGGGACTCGACGATTCCTTGTGTCTGCTTGCTTCTTTCCTCTCCTGAGAGGAACCGGTCCCCGGGAGGGGGTCCGGACTGCATGGGGGGTCCTGCCAGGGAGAAGTCACGAACGTCGGGGGGGGGGGCGTCTGGGTCCGCGCCGCGACGGGGCGTGCGAGGGCGGGCCCTCGCCAGCCTCCTCGGGCGGCGGGGCCTGCAGGGGTGGGGGGGGGGAGGGGCAGAGGCAGAGCTCGAGCTTGGTGCTTTCGTGCCCCCCTCGTTTCGTGCCCCCCTTCGTGTTGCTCTGTCTTTCTCTGTTTTCGGGGCGAGGGCTGAACGGCGTCTCCCCCGGTCTCGTCTTCGTCTCCCGCCCCCTCGCTCCGTCGCCGTGCTGCCCTGTGTTTCGTTCTCGAGGCGAGGGCTGCACGGCGCCTCCTCCGTTCTCGTGCTCTCTGCGTGCCCCCTCGTTCTGCCGCCGCTCTGGCCCCATGTTTCTGCTGTTGCCAGGCGAAGTCGCAACGAGAACGGCCCACGGAGCCGCGAAGACGCCCTTCCGCTCGCGCCCCGGGCAGAGGCAAGCGGGGGGGGGCGACGCGAGGGCGACGGGCCGAGAGGTCCTCGCCCCGGGCCCCCCGGGGCCACGGCCGAGGCTTAAGTCGGGCCTGCCCTCCTACAGGGGCATTCTGGAAGAAAAAGGAAGCACGGTCCAAAACTACCCCAAAATGGTCAACCAACAAGTCCCCCAAAAATAGTCCCCAGACTATTCTGATTTGACTATTTCAGGAGAGAGAGAGAGAGAGAGAGGCCCGACTTCAGCCGAGGCCCTCTGAAATCCTGGCGCTGTAGCCTCTCCTCACGACGGGAGCCTCTGCGCTCAGCTCCCAGGAACAAGGAGAGGGGACACCAGCAGGGCGAGGAGATGCGAGGAGATGCGAGGAGGCAAGGGGGTTCACCCTGGTGATGTGGCCCCCCCCCTCGCTCGAGACATCCCCGGCCTCCAGCTCGGGGAGGCATCGCGGACCTCCTCGCTGGAGGTGGGCCCCCTGGTGGCGCTGGTGGCGCATCCCCCCCCTCCGAAATGGCGGACGCGAAGCATCGCCAAGGCAGTACTCGAGAGACGGAAGCACGAGGGCCCGCGGGGCTCCCACACGGCTTCCTGTACGTGCAGCGGGGGGGAGGGGGCAGGAGAGGACGCCCTGCTAGGGGGGCCCGCGCGAACTCGCCCGTGCCGCTCATGGCGCAGTTCACCAGCGCCCACGAGGCGTACTCGGTCCGCCTGGCGGTCCCGCTGGGGTTGTGGATGCCGCGACAATGGACATCCTAACAGTCCCATCATCGAATTAAACATGCTCTTTTAAATGTAGGAACAATGTCATGCAACTGTTCAACGCGTATTGTTTGCAAGTTAGAAACAGTTTTAACTTTTTTGGTAGACATCTGAAAATTATTTGGCAACCTGCCTCCTCTCCATTGATCGTCCTCCACAACGCTGGGTGGGGGGGCCGGCCCGGCCCGCAGAACCCGTCCGCGCCGCCGCCGCCGGCAGCGCGCGCGCAGACGCGCGCAGCCGGTCGGTCGAGAACCCGACGGTTCACCTCTTCACCCCTCGAGCGCCATCTGACGTTGTGCCGAGCGACGGTCCCGAAAGGGCATCACGGATCAGAAGGGCCAGCAAAGGGCAGCATGGGAAAACTGACAAAATTGAACGCAGGCCCGAATGCCAGCCCGGGGCCGCGGGACCTCCGGACCCTTGGCCACACGGCCGCTCGAGACGACCACGGCCGGCGGGCCAAACCCCCTCCACCCACCAGCCCCTCTAGGCCGTGGGGGGCATCGCCGGGGCTGGCCCTCGTGGCTTGCCAACAAAAACAATCACGTGCGCGTGTGTGCTCAGGACTTGTGCGCCTGGGGCCGCGACGCAGCCCACAAAAACCTTCATGGCCAGAGCGCGCCGCCTGTCCCTTTTCCCACCTCCGCGGCCGCCCTCCTCTCCCTCCCGCCTGCTTGTGCACGATTCGCCTCCCACCGACCCTGCGTAGGTTCCGACCGCGCCGCGCGACCGCTGGGGCTGCGACTATGGCCGAGAGATCCTCGCAATATGAACGCGACAGTGCCCGTTTACTACGTCGACGCGGCGACTGCGCGGCCCTAAAAAGAGACGCGTCGACATTCCCAAAACAAACGTTTCAATTGACATATCCCCAAAATCTGGGCGCGAACGCACCGGTGATGTCCCCCTTGGCGCCTCCCGTCTGTGGCGCCCAAAAGTGATGACTGCTACACGCCAATGGCCACGGCCTGAAAAAAACAGGTAAAACTTCCAAAAGCCACCAGTTCGCAGGGGACGTCCCCACAAATCTGGGCGCCAACGGGCAAGTGTCCGACCCTCTGACGCCCTCCCTCCCTCTCTGGGGTGCCGAAGTATATCACTCCCGGCACTCTCTTGTGGAACCGATACTACAAACATGAACAACGGCAACAGCAGCCAAGTCTTCAAAAGAAACCACCTTTTCAAAATTACAACAAACCATCGATCAAATCGGTTACCCGCCACCCATCACATGTTGACAACGGGCGAAACTGAGAGACTCAACCGCAAGGTATATTCCAACAAAGAGCGAAACTCAGCCGACCCTTCGTCGTGTGCGAGACGCTGCCGTCGTCTTCGTCGTCGTCGTCGTCGTCGCCAGTCCTCAGTCCCGCCTCTTGGGCCATCTTGGGGCAATCTCCGTGGCTGCTTGGGACGTCTTGGACGCTGGTAAGACCAATGGACGAATTAACTAAACTTACGCGGTTTCCTGAAGGAAATGGTACGGTCTTCGCCTCTTGGGGCCGTATTGGGGGTCCTCTTGGAGCCGTCTTGGGGCGCCGTGGGCCGCCTTGGACTCCCTTGGAACTTATCTGGAAGCTCTGAGGGGTCCCTGGGGGACTCCGCGGAAGCTCTGGGGAGGCTTAGGGGAGGGCCCAGGAGGGGAGGGGGCCCTTAGGTGACTGACTCTGGGTAACCCTGGTGTGCTTCAGCCCCTGTTCCTCCAGGAGTAGGTTTCCGATTTCTGAAAAGAAAAAACTAGAACCACGCGCGCGCTGCGCGCGCACTTTGCTTGTAGCAAGATGTGGCGACGGGCTAAGGTTTCCAGCATCGGAGCGCAGAATGTTTTATCAATACAGCTGGTCGCAGGACTAACAAGGATTCCACAGGATCCCACTTCAGCTGGCTGCATACCCTTTTCTCATTTCCAGAGGGCGCCTCGAGAAAACAACGCACACACGCACAGCAACAACTCGTGTGTGTCCACCGGGGGGGGAGGTGGGGGGACGGGCCCCCATGCTGAATCCACCCGCTTGAAGCAGCCGCCAAAAGCAACCAAGACCTGGTCTTTGGAACAGGGGAGGGGCGGGGGCCCGCGCCGATCGGCGAAACGAGGCATAAGAAACAGCCAGCTCTCAGGATGGCTCAATGGGCCCGGTTTCGGCACACCCCTCACGCACTCTACGCCTACCCAAGGCCTAGGCGACCCAGAGCGTCCAAGGCCCACCTGGAGCAAACCCAATGCCAACTAACTGCCCCATGCCTGCCCACGAACCCCCAGCCCTGCCCAAGGTCAGCCCGACGGCCTATCCAATGTCTGCCTCAGGCCCACCTGGCGGCCTTTCAAGAGCTGATACATGGCCTACCCAGAGCCCAGTGAGCGCCCGCCCACGACCTAGCCAAGGCTTGTCAAGCAAAAAACCCAAGACCCACAAGTCTTACGTCCAGCCAACCGCATGCGAGCATCATAACGAATGTGAACATCCGAATGCGCGCGACCACTGTGTCCGCGCCGGTCTTACAGCCGCCGCGAAAATCTTGACAACGATGGGCTGTCATGAAGAGTTCTTTTCGGTGCGCCTTTCGTCGTCGTGCAGCCGCCGCGCAAAATTTGACAACGTTGGGCTGCCCTAAAGGGTGGAACGGTACGCGCCAACAAAAATCGGCAACGAAATCTCCTATCCGACGTTCACCCCAATCCCGCGGCGACTACTGGGACTAATCCAAGTATTCGCTTTCCTGGTGGCGGCCTTGACAAAAAGCATGCCCACCTCAAAATGCCAGCGTCTCGCGTGAGATATCCCCGAATGCTTGGCGCCAACGGGCAAGTGTCCTACCCCGTGGTCGCTCCTCATTGTGGTGCCCAACAACGTTGGTTGCGACATCGCGAACACCACGCGGCCCTGAAAGAAACGCGCCCACATCTGTGAAACAAGCGAACCGCTGGAGACATCCCCACAATCTGGGCACGAACCAGTAAGTGACCTATCCCCTGGCGGTACCCCCTTGTGCTGCCCAAGTGCGATGCCTGTCACATCGCGATGATTATGATCGTGATATGGAAGAGGAGGGAGGAGGAGGCGCAAGAGGAGCAGGAGGAGGAGGATGGAGAGCGTTTCTTTATGTTCGGTGATGACGGGCGTCATGGGGGGGGGGGGGCGGGCGGGGGGGGGTATGACGTATGACGTGGGTACGGACAAATATGCACGATGCCCAACAAGGAATGGGATCCTCCTCCTCCTCCTCCTTCCTCCTCCTCCTTCTCCTCCAAACCGACAGCGGCCGCTGTTGGGCAGGCGGCCTTCTGTCTCAAATGGACAACGTCTGCGGCTGCGCGGACAGTGAGTCTTTTTCAAGATGAGCAAGAACTGCTGCTGGGCATCGTGCCCATCCTCTCCGTAATGACCCACTACGTTCGTGCCGATCTGGAGGCCGGCGGGACGCTGGAGCCCGGAGGCCCCCTGGGCCCCAAGCTGGAGGTCAAGTCAACTCCGGCTCTGTGGGCAGGTTCTGCGCCTCCTGCAATCAACTCCAGCTCTGTGGGCAGGTTCTGCGCCTCCTGCCGCCCCGAGGCCCTCTGAGGTCCCCCGAGGCCTCCGTGGGCGCCTGGACTCAGAGAAGTGATCCTCCTCCTCCTCCTCCTCCTCCTCCTCCGCCTCCTCCTCCGCCTCCTCCTCCTCCTCCTCCTCCTGGTCCTCCTCCTCCTCCTCCTCCTCCTCCTCCTCGTCTGATGCATACAGGGCACCCTCCAAGAACACGAGACCCTCCGCCGCCCAGACCGGAAGAACACTCGAGGGCCCCCCCCCCACAGGATGCAGAAAAGAACCCAACACGTATCGCACGAAGAACACTCGAGGGCCCCCGCCCCCAGGATGCAAAAGAGAATCCAACACAGATTGCACGAAAAACACTCGAGGGCCCCCCCCCCCAGGATGCAAAAGAGAATCCAACACAGATTGCACGAAAAACACTCGGGCACCCTCCCCAGACCGACCACGATCTCCTGCCTCGGTCCGACCGCACATCGAGCCCGAGGGGAGCCTCAGAGCAGACCTGCGGATCCAGGAGTCCTCCGGCCCCGGAGGCCCCCCGGAGGTCCCTGGAGACCCCTCGGGAGGCCCCCCGACCCTCCAGTGGCCTTCCGAGAAGAGGGCGCGAAGGAGGGAGGGAGGGCGGGGCGGGGGAGAGGGAGAGGACGGGCGGGAGGGACAGGGGGCTGGAAAGGGGGGGAAAGATGGGGGCAGGAAGACGGGGGAAGGGAAGACGGGAGAGGGGTGGGGGGGAAGGGAGAGGGAAAAGAGAGGGAGGGACAGCGGGGAGAAAACCATGGAGGGAGAAAGAGAGGGAGGGAGGGACGTAGGGGGAAAGAGCGAGACAGGGAGGGAAGGCAGGGAAGGGAGGGAGGCAGGGAGGGAGAAAGGCAGGGAGGGACAAATGAAGGAAGTCCCTCTCCCTCCTCCTTCTCATCCTCATCCTCGCCACTCCTTCCTCCTCCTCATCTTCCTCCTCCTTCTCCTCGCCCCGATTGTCTTCCACCCTTCCTCCCTTCCTCTCGCACCCCTCCTCCCCTTGCTCCCTTGCTCCCCTTCTCTTCATTCTCCTCTTCCTCATCGTCATCACTGCTATTTCTGGAACTTGGAGACCGGGACGCGCAACGCGTTAAAACAAGCTGGCCAGTCACGAAGCAATGGTGGCTCGTGCTGCCTCAGAGGAGCAACAAGAGAGGACGCGCAAAGCTGTAGGAGAAGTGCTTTAGACACGTGCAACGACATGAAAAAACATCTGGCTATAAGGAGTTGTTGCGCACATCATTCGGCGATCCCTGAGGGCAACGAGGTGCCCCAGAGCTTCAATGGGTTCCCAGGGTCATCGGAAGATTGCAAATGTCCGTGGGGCGCCTGCCGGCAGGCCGATGTCTTATTTGACAAGGCTACTCTAGGGAGGGAGAAAGAGAGAAAGAGAAATAGAGAGAGAGAGAGAGATCTATATATAGAGAGAGAAAGAGAGAGAGAGAGAGAGAAAGCATAAATAAAGAAAACAAAAACAACGGGAGAGAGAGAGAGAGAGAGAAAGAGAAAGAAAAAGAGAGAGGGAGAAAGAGAGAGAGAGAGAGCGAGATAAAAGAGAGAGGAAGAGCAGGAGCAGGGGGAGGTAGCGTGGGAGGAGTCGGGCGAGGGGGAGTTGGAGGAGGAGGGGAATGGGAAGGAGGGAGAAGAGGATGGGAGGAGGAGTAGGACTACCAGGAGGAGGAGGAGGAGGAGGAGGAGGAGGAGGAGGAGGAGGAGGAGGAGGATCACCAGGAAACGCATGACAAAACGCAATAGTATCGCGGGATCGCGTCGCCAATCGCGCCGCCGACCGCGGCGCCAACGACTCGCAGGATCTACCGTCGCAAGACAAACTGCATGGCAGCTGCAGGTCTTGCCGGATGACCACGCCGCCAAACGCGGCACAGCCATATTATAATTGCAATCGCAGGGCAAGCAGAGGGGTCTCCCTCTGCGCCCGTGCCCATGACGCGAACAAGAAGAGCAGCAGCTCGTATGGGTCTGATCGTTCCGAGTCGTCAGGGGTCTGGCTACACGCGCGAGGATCGAGCGGCGCGCCCTGATCACGCCACGTGCAATGGCGCACCTCAGCCAGCCACTCACGTTTCGACCTCCCAGGCCGGGTAGTTCTCGCGCCCAGGCATGAACTCCCACGTCCCGTTGAGCCTTCCCCCCTCGTGCTCACATGTGCTCATCCCCTCCTCCTGGTCCCTCGCGGGCCGTCTGGGGTCCTCTTGGACCGTCTCGAGGCGATCTTGGGGGCCTCTTGGGCCGTGATGAAGCGTCGAAGCCCGAAAAGGCGAGAACGCTCAAATCCGCGAGAAGCCATGAAGCAAAATCAATGATGTTGGCCTCTTGGAGGCCTCTTGGGGGGACTCTTGGATCACTCTTGGGGCGTCTTGTTGGGCCTATTGGGCCGTCCGGGCCAACTGGGGCGTCTTGGAGCGCCCAAGGGCCGTCGCGGAGGCCTTTTGCCCCGTCATGGGTGCCGCTTGGGGTTCTCTCTTTGCCCGTTATTGGGGCCTTCTTGTGTCTCCATGGGTCCGGGATCCCTCCTCCCTCCTCTTCCTCCCTCCTCCTCTTCCTTCACCCTCCCGCCCTCCTCCTTCCTCAGCCTCATCCTGGGAGGAGCCCGAACGACTCATTGTTGAGGTACGCGTGGAAGACGATGAGAGAGGTGCACGTCGACACGGCCATGATGTTCGGTGCCAGCGCGATGGCCTGGTCCTTTGGTCGGCCACCCAGATCCCATTGTTCCCCCCCCTCCTCCTCCTCCTCCTCCCCCACACAGACATGCTCGCGCCATGACCAGACATGACGGAACGTTGTTTTGCCGTTTTCGGCCTCGGGGGGCCCTCGCCGGGCCCTGGATGGACTCCGACCGCCGGCATCGATTCATTTTCATGACGTGACCCTAAGAGATCTGGAACCCTTCCTGGGAACCGGTTTTGCATCCTGAGTCGTTTTTGGACGCTCCCGAGGCCCGGTGAGGGCCCCCGGAGGCCGAAAGTGGGGAAAAACCTCCCGTCGTGATTTAGTTTACATCGCGAGGGAGGTCTCAGGAGCCGCCCAAACAAAAATACTCGGGACGAAAAGCCGGTCCCAGGGCATGGGTTGAGACCTCCGGCGGTTGACGTTGTAAAAGGTCGGGGTCTGGGCCCCCATCCTCCGCCTCCTCCTCCTCCTGCTCCTGCGCATCCCGTGTCCTTCTCCTCCTCCTCCTCCTCCTCCTCCTCCTCCTCCTCACCAGCAAAATCATCATAATAAGGAGGATAGTAGCACTAAGAATAGCCATCATCATCATCATCATCATCATCATCATCAGCAGCAGCAGCAGCAGCATCATCATCATCATCATCATCATCATCATCATCGTCATCGTCATCATCGTCATCATCATCAGCATCATCATCATCAGCAGCATCATCAACATCAGCATCATCATCATCAGCAGCATCATCATCATCGTCATCATCATCATCGTCATCAGCATCATCATCACCATCATCAGCAGCAGCATCGGATCACTGCTTTATATTATTCGTCTTCTCCTTCGTGATCCTCAGCATCATCGTCGTCATCCTCCTCTTGCTCATCCTCCTCATCTTCCTCCTCCTCATCATCATCCACATCAGCAGCATCAGAATGGGCATCCTCATCATCATCATAATCATCATCACCATCATCAGTATCGCCGTAATCATCGTCATCATCATGATCACCATCATCACCATCAACAGCATCAGCATCATCATCAGTAGCATCAATACCAGCAGCAGCATCATCATACCATCCTTCCCATCAATACCATCAATCCTCCTCCTGGTCCTCCTCCTCCTCCTGCTCATCCTCCTCATCCTCATCCTCATCCTTATCCTCATCATCAGCATCATCATCGTACTCCTCCTCCACCTCATCATCATCAGTCATCATCATCATCATCATCATCAGCAACATCAGCATCAGTATAACTCTCATCATCGTCATCAGCAACAACAATATCATCAACCTCCTCATCATCATCAGCAGCATCATCAGCGTCATCGTCAGCATCACCATCATCACCAAAATCATGATCATCATCATCACCAGCATCGTCATAATCAGCAGCAGCATCATCATCAGCACCATCATGACTATTATCCTTATACTCTTTCTTCTCATCTTCGTTGTCCTCCTCCTCCTCCTCCTCCTCCTCCTCCTCCTCCTCCTCCTCCTCCTCCTCTCCCTCGGGGGCGCAGATGGGATGGTGCGCTTCATCACGGGTGCACGTTTCGAATAAGCTCGCAGGCTGGCAAACGGGTCCTCCTCCTCCTCCTCCTCCTCCTCCTCCTCCTCCTCTCCGTCGTCCTCCTCCTCCCTCTCCCCCTACTCGTGCCCTCCTCCTGCTCTTGCCCTCCCCCCCGCTGCTCCTCGTGCCCATCCTCCTCGTCCTTCTCCCTCCACTCCACTCCCCCTCCCCGCCTGCCTCCCCTGCTCGCCCTGTCCTGTTCCTCCTGCCCCCCCCCCTCCCTCGTCCTTATCCCCCCTCATCCCCCCTCCTGCCTCTTGTCGTCGTCCTGCTCCTCCTCCTGCCCCCCCCCCCCTCCCCTGGAGCACGCGCCGTGGCGCCGCGCACAGTCGTCTCACATGCTCCAGCAGGTACAAGGAGAGAGGGCGAGAGAGAGAGAGAGAGCGAGAGAGAGAGAGATAGATAGAAGGGTGGATCTGAAACCGAGGATATCGCCCGAATGCTCCTCATCCTCCTCCCTCCACCCTCCTCCCTCCTCTCCCTGCCCCCTCCTCCCTCCCACTCCTCCTCCTCCGACTGCTCCTCCTCCTCCGCATCCGTCCTCTTCCTACTCCTCTCTCCTCCTTCCTCCTCCTCATCCTCCTACTCCCTTCCCCCTCCTCCCTCCTGCGTCCTGCGTCCGTCGTCCTCCCTCCTCCGTCCTCCGTCGTCCCTTCTCCCTCCCTCTTCCCTCCTCCCTCCTCCCTCCTCCCTCCTCCCTCCGTCCGTCCTCTTCCCTCAGGTATCCTTCATCCTTCCTCCTGCCTCCTGCCTCCTTCCTCCTTCCTTCTTCCTCCTCGTTCGTCCTCCTCCTCTTGCTCCCTCCTTCCTCCTCCTGCTCATCCCTCCTCGCTCCTCCCTCCTCCTTCCCACTCCCTTGTCCTCCCGTCCTGGAAGGCCACGTCCGTAGTCAGCGTGGAGAGCAGCCTGAAATCCTTGGACCCCGTCGCGGCCGCGGAGTCAGCGCCCAACCGCTGCAGCTCCCCGACCTCCGCCGTCCCCCCCCCCCCCGCCGTCGCGGTCGCCGTCGTCGCCGTCGTCGCCGTCGCCCCCGCCGCCGCCGTCGAGGGACGGCCAAGAGATCTGGGCGGTGCAAGTTTTGTTCACGCTGGGTGTTTCCGCGCCGAGGCTCGAGCCCTGGGACCATCACGAAACCAATCCCGCAAAGACTACGGTCTACGGCTACAGTTGCGGTTTTCGCGATAGGGGGGCGGGCCTTCTCGGAAGGCTCGGAAGTCCCCCGGCCTTCTGAGACTGCGAGGTGTCCCAAGCCTTCGGCGAAGACGGAACAAAACCCCTGCCAGAAGGCGCGAGGGCTTCCGAGAAGTCCCGCCGCCCTCCGAGACGGCCTCGCCCTCCTCGCGTCCCCCCCTCGCTCGCCGCCGAGGCTTGCTGCCTGCGGCGAGCTGGGCCCAACAGGCGGCCCAGCAGACGGCGGGGCACGGCAGCGGCAGACGGAGGCACCCGGGGGCGCAGGGGCGGGCGAGGGGCCCAGGGAGAGGCAGCCGGGGGGTGGGGGGGAGCGGCCGCAGAGCTCTCGGATCGCGCAGGCGTTCGGGAGATGCCTGGAGGGGGAGGGGGAGGAGGGGGAGGGGGGTGAGGAGGAGGATGAGGAGGAGGAGGGGGAGGAGGGGGAGGAGGAGGAGGAGGAGGAGGAGGAGGAGGAGGAGGAGGAGAGAGGAGAGGGGCAGGCTCACGTTCAACAGGGTGAGTGTGAGCGCAACGGAGCGGGGGGGGGGAGGGGGTGGGGTCTGGCTCTGGACCTCTGCTTCGTGCGGCTGTTTACAGCAGTGCGTCCTATGGGAAAGACTCCGCCTGCTTGAAACAGGCGCCAACAAAAGCCAAGATCTACTCCATGGGGGGAGGGGGGGTGCGAGGGCCCGCGACGATCAGCAAAGCAATGAATAAACAAACGAACGCTATGTCGACCCCTATCCCAGGCTTCGTGGGTTTTTCGAATGGACCAAGAAGCTGGGGCCCAACCCTGGGATACACGAGGGGGGTCGTCCATCCTCGATTGGGGTGCGTCCGAATGGTCTCCTTGGGGTGCGACCCTCCTCACTCTTCTCCTCTCCTCCTCCTCTCCTCCCCCTCCTCCTTCCCCATCCTCTCTCCTCTCGTCACCCTCTCACTTTGGCACACCCCTCACACGTTTCAAGGCCCCGTAGGGAGCTCCACCTAAGGTCCGAGTGGCGCAGTTCGCATGGCGGCGCCGCCCAATTTTGGCACACTCCTCACGCGCTTCGTGGCCCCATAGGACGCTCCATCGAAGGTTCCAGTGGCGCACTTCGCATGGCGGCGCCGTCCCATGTTGGCACACCCCTCACACGTTTCGTGGCCCCATAGTGAGCTCCACCTAAGGTCCCGATGCTGAACTGCGCATGGCGGCGCCGCCCCATCTTGGCACACCCCTCACACGTTTCGTGGCCCCGTAGGGAGTTCCACCTAAGGTCTCCATGGTGCAGTTCGCATGGCGGCGCCGCCCCATTCTGGCACACCCCTCACGCGCTTCGTGGCCCCATAGGGAGCTCCATCGAATGTTCCAGTTGCGCAGTTCGCATGGCGGCGCCGCCCCATTTTGGCACACCCCTCGCACGTTTGGTGGCCCCATAGGGAGCTCCACGCCCCATGGCGCAGTTCGCATGGCGGCGCCGCCCCATTTTGGCACACCCCTCACACGTTTTGTGGCCCCATAGGAGACTCCATCTAAGGTTCCAGTGGCGAACTGCGCGTGGCGGCGCCGCCCCATTCTGGTACACGCCTCAAACGTATTCGTGGCCTCATATGGAGCTCCACATGAAGTCCCACTTGCGCAGTTCGCATGGCGGCTCCGCCCCATTTTGGCACACCCCTCACACGCTTCGTGGCCCCATAAGGAGCTCAACCGAAGGTCCCAGTGGGTGTGCCCGTATGCGTCCCCCACACCCATGTCGGCACACCCATGACATGATTCGTGGCTCCAAAGGGAGCTCCACCGAAGGTCCCAGCGGGTGTGCCCGCATTCGTCCCCACACCCATGTCGACACACCCCGCGGCCAGCTCCACGGAAGGCCCCAGTGGCGCCGCTCGCGGTGGAGAGGAGGGAGGAGGAGGAGGAATAGGAGGAGGAGGAGGAGGAGGAGGAAGAGGAGGAGGAAGTGGAGGAGGAGGAGGAGGAGGAGGAGGAGGAGGAGGAGGAGGAGGAGGAGGAGGAGGAGGAGGAGCAGGAGGAGCAGGAGGAGGAGGAGGAGGAGCAGGAGGAGCAGGAGGAGGAGGAGGAGGAGGAGGAGCGGCGGCGAGCCCGGGGGGGAAGGGAGAAGGAGAAGGCCTTGACTCAGAAGGCTCGGAAGTGCCCCCAGCCCTCTGAGAAGTGCTCTGAGCCCTTGCCCGAAGACGCGCAAACAACTTCTCAGAGGGCACCAGGGCGTCTGAGAAGTCCCGCCGCCTTCTGACCCAGACCCCCGACATCATGCTTTTGGAACTATGTCGACCCCTGGAGGTCTCGACCCCTTCCCCTGGACCTGTTACTTATCCTGACTCGTTGTTTGACGGTCCCGAGGGCCAATAAGGGCCCCCAGAGGCCGAAAATGGCAAAAAAACTCTCGCCATGACATCTTCATTGCCCGAGGGGGTCAAGGGAGAAGGCCTTCTCCTTCTCACTTCCCCACCTGGCTCTCCGCCGAGAGGAGGAGGAGGCAACGGCAGGGGGGCCCGCTCAGCGCACGAGGCTCCCGCGAGGCGCCCGTGATCGACGAAGAATGGACGATTGGGGGTCGATGCACTCCACCCTATGCCTATCTCCTCCGCCTCCTCCTCCTCCTCCTTCTCCTACTCCTCCGCCTCCTCCTCCTCCTCCTCCTCCTCCTCCTCCTCCTCCTCCTCCTCCTCCTCCTCTCAAAAGTAGATACGCCCAGCCGGCCAGGGACGCCGCGCCCGGGCGGGGCGGAGACCCCCTCTCCCTTCTCGCGCTGCCCGCCTGGCTGCCGACGAAGATGTCGCCGTTGCCGTCGATGACTGGGGTGGACCAGGAGCCTGCATTGGCGACGCGCACAGGGGGGTGGAGGGAGGAGGAGGAGGCGGAGGGGGATAGGCGCATAGGGGGGAGGGCTTCTTAGAAGGAGGCTGCTTCTCAGAAGGTGCCGGGCCTTTCATCTATAGGTAAGGCCCGCGCCTTCTAAGAGGCAGGGGTGCTTCCAAGAAGCCCTCCCCCCTCCCCTCACCCCCCTCAGCGCGTGGCTGACTACAAGCACGTGGCGGCGTGGCTTTGTCCGTCCGCGCCCGCAGGCCCCCTCGGGGCAATGAAGAAAGAATCGTGGCGACAGGTTTTCTGCTATTTTCGGCTTGCGCGAGGAGGCCTCGATGGTGCCCTCCTGGCTCGTTCTGTTCCATCCTTCCCAGACCCCCCCGGGTTATGAAAAAAACATGACGGGAGGTTTTTTGCTATGTTCGGCTCCTGGGGGCCCCTGTCGGCCCTCGGGACCGTTAGAACACGACGCAGGAGGAAGAGCCGGTCCAGGGACCTCCAGGGGTCGACGTCCCTCGGGACCGCCAAAAAACGACTCGGGAGGAAGAGCCCGTCCAGGGGAAGGAGTCGAGACCTCCAGGGGTTGACGTTAGGACAAAAATCATGACGTCGGGGGTCTGGGGCCCCAGAGTGGTCTCGAACCCTTCCCCCTGGGGCGGCTTCTCGTCTCCGGCCTCCGTGTTGCTGGCGCGGGGACCCGCGAGGGCCCCCGGATGCTGCATGAAGGAACGACAGCGGCTGGAGTTGGGGCGACAGGGGGTCCGCCGACCCTCTGGCGTGTGGAAGACACTGTCGTCGTCGTCGTCGTCGTCGTCGCCGTCAGTCCCAAGGAACTCGAAGAGCAAGGAAAAGGAAGGTGGTCGTTAAGTTGAAGAGAAGCCCACTCCATTTGTCCATGCCCTCCCGAGGGGTGGGGGGGGCGGGGGTTGCTGGGGTGGGGGGCGGTCCCGAGTCAGAATGCCGTGCCCACCCCCCCTCGGCCCAGGCGGGTCCTGGGACGGGTCGCCAGCGGGGGTCTTGGGGGAAGTCCCGCCTTCAGGGTCGGCGGCACCTGCTGTGACGCCTCCGCAATACCCGTGCCGCTACTCCACAGACATTCCCTGGGGTGCGTGCTGACAAGGGTTTAGAGGCGAATCCGGCCGTGGCGACGAGGGAGGGGTAATTAGCGGTAGCGGCACTCTCCTCAGAGGCTTCAAGCCCAGACATGTGACATGTTCAACGTGGGGTCCCTGGAAGTCTTCAGGGCCGTCAGGAAACAATAGTTGTTTGGCTGACCCGGGGCCTGGTCAGGGCTCCCATGGGCCCCAGAGGCCGAAAAAGCTGCCCCGCAAGCTCGATCTTTCACGACGCGAGCATGTCTTGGCTTCTCCCTCTGAGGACTGAAGAGGTCGGCTGCACGCAAGACTGACCCTAGGCAAAAGTGGCCCTTAGTGCCCAAACACTAGGGGGGCACAAGGTGGCCAAATCCAAGCGCGCAAGCAGCCACTGCCGCATCGCGCTCAGCGATCGGGTGGGGGGGGCAGGTGAGCCCGCAACAGAGGTCACCCCGCGCGAAGGGTCACTCTTGCGTGTAGCCGAAGAGGTCACATCGCCAGGATCTGGTTTGTGTTTTTGTTTATGTTTTACTCTGGCAAGCTTACTTGCATGGACCAGGGGGTGCTGAACCTGAAGCAAGCCGCAATCGGCTTGCACGTGCGGGAGTCACGCAAGTCGAAAGGCACTTGCACGCTAGTATTCGCTTGAAGAGGGGCGGGGGGAGTCGAACGCCATTCAAGTAAACTTTACTGAATTTAGCAAACATGCGCCATACTAGAGCGCACTACCACAGGCAAGCTTGTTAGCTTTGGCCAAGATGCGGATGCTGCAGCCGTCGCATCTTCTTTCTACAGCTACAAATGGGTAGCTACTGCACGCCTGCAAACCATAGGTTTAAAGGCTCCGTGTACATACAGCTTCCCGACGAGTTAATTAAACTTACCTCCTCTGGGACCCTCATTACGATTATGAACAGGGTCTTTTGCAATACTTTAAACTTGCCAGCCTCACTTCTCTTGTGGATGCCATGACAGTGGACACTCGTACAATCCTGTCATTGAAGCAAAGACGTGTTTAAACTGTGTAAGCCATGCTCTAAAATGTCCCAAACCTGTGTTTAACACATGTAAAACATGTCTGAAACATGTTTTTTTTTTTTTTTCAGACATCTGGTACTTACTTGGCAGCACGCACCCTCTCCATTCACCGTCGTCCACAGCAATCCTCTTGCTCCAGAGATCCGAGAGCCCGGCTCGCAGTAGGCCCGCCCAGTCTGCGCCCGGCGCACGTCGCCCCCCTCTTGGTCGCCCGCGCACCGCGCCGTCCACAGCGTGGGGCCCTCGACCTTCACGCGCGGGTGGCCTGCGTAACGGGGGAGCTGCGCAGCCGCCTTCCGCAGACCCTGGTGGCCTTTCGGCCCCATGCCACCCCCCCCCCCTGTGAAGGGGAGGGAGGGAGAGGGAAGAGGAGGAGGAGGATAATAATAATAATCATAATAATAATAAGAAGAAGAAGACGAATCATAATAATTAGAAGAAGAAGAAGAAAAAGAAGAAGAAGACGAATCATAATAATTATAAGAAGAAGGAGGACGATCGATCGAGCGTTCGGGCCAATGCGGTGCTACTCTCCTTCGGCTAGAGCTGAGCGGCTTCAAAAGGATTAGTATGGTCTAGCTGTGTTCGCTTTGTGGAAAGGGGTCGCTGGCGTCAAGCGACGCTCTAGCCCTACCTGCACCAACGGAGGAAGAGGAGGTGGAGGAGGAGGTGGAGCAGGAGAGGAGAAGCAGGACCAGTGCATATCCAAGACGCAGCAACGATGGTGCAATCAACCCTCCTTCCAGGTTCCCCCCGCCTAATTCCCTACACGAATCCATCTTCATGTCACGAAAAAACGCCCCATTGAAAAACAACCGCAATCAGGATAAACCACATCATCAAGACTGCTAAATCCAACGTTACTGCCAGACGCCATCCCTCTCTCAGCAACGCGTACCAATGTGACCTTGACGTCATGGCCGTCCTAAGCCATGCCAAAACACGATTCCCGGAAATCCAACACCGCGAATCAACGTGTGTTTTGCGGAGAAGAATAGAAGAAGAAAACACGCCATAGACATAAACTGTTGGCGCTCCGCGCGGACTTCTCGGATCTGCGCTGGACCCCCGTCCCTGGCGCGCGGGGCGCGCCAGGGGAGGCGCCGGAGGCGCCGCCGGGGTGGCCCAGCGCGGATCCAAGAAATCCGCGCGGAGCGCCAAAGTTTATGTTTATGCCGTTGTTATTCTTCGAATATTTCCGCGGTACTCTGTGAGCCAGATCGATATGTGAGGGCCCGGGGGCCCAGCGCTGCACAACAGACCAAACAGAAAAACGCCCGCGGCGAAAGAAAGGTGCCGCGCCAGGACCTCAGGCCCGCGCCAGAAACCACAACAAAACACCGCAACGTGAAGTCACTGGCCGCCCCTGGCCTCAAAGAAAGTGCACGGTTTCCCCAAGGGCCGTAGGCGACCCGAGGAGGAGGAGGAGGAGGAGGAGGAGGAGGAGGAGGAGAAGGAGGAGGAGGAGGGGGAGGAGGAGGAGGAGGGGGAGGAGGAGGAGGGAGGAGGAGGGAGGAGGGGGAAAAGGAGGAGGAGGAGAAGGAGGAGGAGGAGGAGGAGGAGGGGGAGGAGGAGGGGGAGGAGGAGATGGGAGGAGGACGGGTCGCCTAAGCCCTTCGGAGAAACCCTCCAAAAGAAAAGCCCCGCGCACACTGCAGCACCAGGCCACCAAGCAGGGGGGAGGCACGGGCAGCTGCGCTCTCCTCCGCCCCCGCCGCGTCTGAGGCCCTGCCGCTGCCTCCCCCACGCGCTCCCCGGACCCCCCCCCCTTGGGCTGTGAACGAATCGCAGGTTTCTCGCTGCTTTCGGCCTCCGGGGGGCCCTTCCTGGGCCTCGGGAGCGCCAAAAGACGCCTCGGGTTATGCTGTTCCCGTCCTACTTGAGGGCCGCATCCCAGAAATAATCTCGAGCACCCGGAAAAGTGTCGAAAGAGTGTCGAAACAGTGTCGGGCGAGTGTCTCCCAGGGCCCGGCATGTGAAAACCCTTGAGTTTCGGTACTTTTTGGGGCGATCGAAACTCTTCCCGGTGATCAAGGCTACAGTGGGGGCGTTAACCTAAGGAGCGCTAAATAAGGAACGAGGTCCCTTTTTCCCATCAGTTAAAGTTCGATTTCCCATCGAAAACCTAAGGAATACCTAAGGCAAGCTGTGAAATAATCAAGGAACACGGAGCCCCTCCCCAACGAAAAGGGTTCCTTCTTCAGGGCCCCGACTGTAAAGTAGGTTGGAGCAGCAGAAGCCTCGGGATGAGAAACCGGTCCCCGGGAAAGGGTCCAGGACTCCGGGGGTCGACGCTGTGAAAGAACACGACGTGGGGGGTCTGGGTCCCTGGCCCTCTCCTCGCCGCCTCCTCCCTCCCAAGGTCAAGGGGCCCTTGGGACACACAAATCAATATACACACACACAAAGAACAGGATTCCCCATCTTTTCCCATATTTTCTGGGTTTTTGTCTTCCCCCCCAAATTCCCAAATTTTCCGATATTTTCCGAGGAAACGACGATCAATTGTGTCTGTGTGTGTTTTCCCCCTCCTGACAAGCTCTTCCCCCCCTGAGACGAAACCAGGGCGAGGAGAAACAATTTGGGCGGGGATCCATCGCGAGTATCGAGGATCCCCGAGCTCCCCGCTCCTTTCTGAGCGGCCAAACTTTTCGGGTGGAATTTTGGGAGTGGGGGAGACAAGCCGCCTACGAACATTCACTAGCCCCACAGCACACTTGTTTATATATCTACATAACTCTGTGTATATACATATATATGTATATATATACATATGTATATATATGTATATACAGATGTATATATACATATACACACACACACACACCTTAAGACGAAGCCAGGACGAGGATTAATCCGGGCGAGGGTAAATCGAGAACCTCGAAGATCTGGCGGCTCTGGAGGATGTCTCGGGCGCCGCGGCCTTCGCACAGCGTTCAGGAACGCTCCGACAGCGCTCCAGAAAGCTCTGGAGCGGATTCTATCCTGGTCCTGGCCCCGCCCGATGCTCCCTCTTGCGCTCCCCTCCCCAGACCGTCGACGTCGTGATCTTTTCGTGGCATCACACCCAAGAGCCTGGACCACTTCTCGGGGACCAAGTTTTTCATGTGAGTCGATGTTCCCAACCACCCTGTGTTGGGTCTTCGTTTCGAAGACACAGCGCCCCACGTATCTTCTCCTCCTCCTCCTCTCATCCTCTCTTCCTCCTGGTCATCCTCACCCTCCTCCCTCCTCCCCATCCTTGCCTCTGACCTCCGCATGCCCATTTCGGCACACCCCTCACACGGTTCGTGGCCCCATAGGGAGCTCAACCGAAGGCCCCAGTGGCCGCGTCCGCATGCGTCCTCCCCAGCCCACAGAATGCCCATGTCGGCACACCCCTCCCACGGTTCGTGGCCCCATAGGGAGCTCAACCGAAGGCGCCAGTGGCCGCGTCCGCACGCGTCCTCCCCAGCCCACAGCATGCCCTTTTCGGCACACCCCTCACACGGTTCGTGGCCCCATAGGGAGCTCAACCGAAGGCCCCAGTGGCCGCGTCCGCATGCGTCCTCCCCAGCCCACAGCATGCCCATTTCGGCACACCCCTCACACGGTTCGTGGCCCCATAGGGAGCTCAACCGAAGGCCCCAGTGGCCGCGTCCGCATGCGTCCTCCCCGCCCGCCGCATGACGTAGCGACCTTGCGCGGTGGACTACGTGGGCCGCCGGCACGGCACGCTACCTTGGAATCGAGGGGGCTCACGTACGACCTTACGCGCCAATGTCGGCGCAGTCGCAACTGCTATGTTTCGTCGTGCATGTCTTCCACGGCGCGGGGAGGTCTGGGACTGCCGCCCACAACAACGCTTGCTCTCGGCAGGGGCCGCGGGCACCCGGCAGTATCGTAAGTATCACCGCCATGGCTCAGCGTCCTCATCGCCAACAGCATCAACGTCGTCGTCATCATCGGCGTCGTCATCATCACGACCACCACACCACCATCATGACCATCATGACCATCATCACCATGACCATGACCATGAACATGACCATGACCATCATCATCATCAACAACATCATCACATCATCATTATCATCATCCGCAACAGCAGCATCGTCGTCATCATCACCATCATCACCAGCAGCAGCAGCAGCATCATAGTCAGCATCAGCATCAGCATCATCATCGGCATCGGCATCATCATCAGCATCACCTTCACCATCACCATCACCATCACCATCACCATCATCATCATCATCATCATCATCATCATCATCATCATCACCATCATCATCATCAGCATCATCATCATCATAATCATCTTCAACAGCATGGTCATCGTCATCGTCATCTTCATCATCATCAGCAGCAGCAGCACCATCACCAGCAGCATCACCATCAGCACCACCACCACCACAATCATCATCAGCATCGTCCTAAGCGTCATCATCGTCAGCAGCAACAGAACCGTCATCATCATCAGCATCAACATCAGCATCATCATCATCAACATCAGCATCGTCATCATCATCTTCATCATCGTCATCGTCGTCGTCGTCTGGTCTTGTCTCGTCTCGTCTCGTCACCGTCATCGTCCACATCCTCATCCTCATCCTCATCCTCATCCTCATTATCATCCTCCTCCTCATCCTCTTCCTCATCACCATCATCATCATCATCATCATCATCATCATCATCATCATCATCATCATCATCCTCTTCCTCATCACCATCATCAACACCATCCTGATCGTCATCATACGGCAGCAACACCACACTTGGGCTCCCCGGGGCGACCGCTCTCGGGGCTGATGGTCCACAACTCGGACTTGGCCCCGTAGTGACAGTTGAAGCCCATCGTCACGACGAGGCGCGTGTGGAACCTCGGGGTGTTCAGGTAGCCCACGGCCGCACCCGCGGGCGGCTGCGGGAGCGGGGTCTCCCACTCCACCCGCCCGGAGCTGGCGTTGAGTGCCCTGACCCAGCCGGGCCAGTCGTTCCCTGTGCCGCACGGCGGCTGGATGCCTTCGTGTGCTGGCTGCTTTTTGTTGATTTAAAAATCAGTTTGTTGTTTTTTTGTTGATTTTTTGTTTGGATGCCTTCGTGTTGCTGTTGATCCCCCCTCCGGTGCACCTGGTGTTTGTCGTTGAAATGTTTGTGATAGGCTTCGCACCCCGCTCTTAACGAGGGGAAGTCTACAGCCTGGAGCAACAGCAACAGAAAAAAAACGAAACAACAGCAACAACTGTTACGACCGATCAAAAGCAACAAAAAGAAACTGCAGCTGGATGCCTTTAGGGACGTACGGATTGCAGAAGTCGCCATCGTAGTGCGCAACGCCCAACGCAAACACCTGGTTGGTTTCGCCGTTGTAGACACAACTCGCCTGAGTGTGGGTTCCCATTGCACCTTCGGCCCTCCACTGAAGAGTGCCCGATTCGATGTCCAGCGAATAGACAGCACCCTCGTAGTCGTTGAACATCACAGTATTGCCACTTTGGCTAAACTGCGGTACGAAATTCCACAACGGCGAGTTGGGCCTGAAGCCCCAAATGAAGGCGCCGTCAGTAGCGCGGAGGGCGCGGACATAAGAATTGCCTGGGGTCAGGGGATTCGTTACGCTCCGGTAGCGATAGCAATACCGGTCGACACATCGATTGGTTGCTACGAACACCAAGCCATCATAACCGGCTGTAACTCCCTTCACGCCCGCAATCTGATCCGACGCCTGCGTGGCCCACACCTCGTCCCCCGTGTCGATATCAATGGCGAACACGAAGCCCGAGGTCGTGCTGCCGACCAGTATGGTGGAGCCCGATTGCGCAAAGCCTGAGGTGATGCGCCTGAACGTCTGGTTCATGGATCGGCGGCGAGCGAGGGGGGGAAGTGACCTCGGAGAGGCGCAGCCGCTGGAGCGCACCCCGAGGCTGGAAGCCCGCCGAGAACCCACGACGACGCTCGAGAACCTGCAACACCGAACCTGAAACTCGGGGACTCCCGAATCTTCTGAGAAGCCAGGGGGCCTCCGAGCCTTCTGAGAAGAGGCCTTCTCTCCTCCTCGCTCCCCCGCGCCCGCTCGCCGCCGAGAATGGAGTCCACGGCCGTCGTGCTCGCGCGGCCGGTGCGCAGCCACTGAAAGACCGCCCTCTTCTCGCCAGCACGGGGCCAGGCAGTGTCAAGGGGGGTCACCACTGCGGGGTCAGGTCGGGCGTGTCCTCCTACAGGCGGATTCTGGGCGAAAAATGAGAAATACTCCAAACATGCCCCACACTAGTCCTAAAATCATACGAGAATCATCCCGAGACGATTTCTTTTGTCTGTTTTTGAATATTCCACCTGCAGAGGGACAGGCCCGACGTAAGTCAAGGAGGGGTCACCGCTATAGGGGAGTCGCGACCTCCTCGAGGAACCACCGGCCCCCCCTGGACGCCCCACCCCTCCCAAGGATACCAAGGAAGGCGTCACAGAGCGTCCCCGAACTCCACGATCGTCGACCCTCTCTCTCTCCTCGTCGATCGACCCCCGGCCTCCTCGATCATCGACCCGCTCTTCCCCTCGAACCTCGACTTCCAGAAGGAGATGCTCAATCTCCCTGCTGCTGACCCCCCGTGGCACTGCCCGATGGGAGATGACGTTGACGATCTCCGCCTGTAGAGGATGAGGAAAACTACACACGCATGGAAGTTCGGAGGTCCGCGCGGATTGCCTGGATCTGCGCTGAAACCTCCTCCCTGGCGCGAGGAGCGCGCCGAGGGCGGCGCCGGAGGCGCCGCCAGGGGGGCCCAGCGCCGATCCAAGAAAACAGGTCTCCAGCAGGCGCATTCCTTGGAGAGAGGGAGAAAAAGGTCCAACACATAAACTTCCGCGACGATCCTCCAGCCGATCCGCTTGTCACTCTGTCCACCGCGGGCCTCAGGAATGGGGCATGGGGTGATGCGAATGCGAGCATCGTCCAAGAGCCTATGGCCAAAAGAAAACGGACATAGAAATCTGGCAAGCTTACTTGCATGGCGGTCGCACCCCCACCCCCTCCCCCCGCCTCGCCCTTCTTCACACTAGTACTAACGTGCATGTGCCTTTCGCCTAGCGCGGCTGCCGCACGTCAAATCGTTTGCGGCTTGCCTCAGGTTCAGGCCCCCTCGCCTCCGTCCATGCAAGCACCCATCGTTCGGAAGAAGTAGGTAGAAACATGAAGTAGGAAGGCGTTGAAAGTAGATTGGATGTCCGCCCGCTCCCTTAGGAGGACGGACAAGGTGAAGCCACTCGACCATTGAAGTAGGAAGGCGCTTTAAAGTAGAGTGGAATATGGGAATCCAGAAATACCTACTTTCAACGACCGATGGGTCAACTTGCCAGAGTCTAAAAAAGCAGGCCCTAACCGACTCCTTTTATCCCCACCGGCGTGGCAGGGGCCACACTGGCCGCCCCCTCTACAGATGGGGGGTCGAGATACGTAGGCCGTCTGCGTCGGGCCTCGAGGCGTCTTTCCCCATCCTCCTCCTCCTCCTCCTCCTCCTCCTCCTCCTCCTCCTCCTCCTCCTCCTCCGCTTTCTCTACGGGACTGCTCGCAGCATACTAGTGTGACCATGCGACGTGCTGGCTACGACGGCGAATTCCTAGTAAGCGCGAGTCATCAACTCGTGCCGATGACGTTCCTGCTTTGTGCCGATGTCCTGAGGTGGTGGGGGTCTCGATGGCGATGAAGATAGGGACATGGGGTCTCGCCCTCGCTCGGACGTCCATTCCCCTTGCATCTTTCGGCTTCGTGCGTTGTTCTTTTTTTCCGCGAGATGCCTCACGATGCTTCTCGATGGGCCTCGCCGGAGAACGAACAAACACATGCACACGTCCGAGCGATGCCGCGGGGTCCCTTGAACGATCCTGGGAAGGATCCCCAAAGGACGTCTCCGAGCCAGGGTGGAGGAGAATGATGATGATGATGATGATGATGATGATGATGATGATGATGATGAGGAGGAGGAGGAGAAGGAGGAGGAGGAGGAGGAGGAGGAGTATGGATACCCTGGGAAAGGAAGAGGGCAGGCGGGCACGAGCACGAACGAGAAGAGGGCAAATAAGTTAGTCTATGCCGCCGTGCTCTGGCCTAGCGCCTCTTGCAAGCGCTGCACGGCGCGGAGGAGGAGGAGGAGGAGGAGGAGGAGGAGGAGGAGGAGGAGGAGGAGGAGGAGGAGGGGAGCCCGGGGCGAGCGGAGCGCCGATAGCCGAGCCCAGAGAGGTCCGTGCGGAGCTCGCACGCGGATGCCGATGGAGCTTCTCTTGCTCTGCTCTTTGGGTGACCCCACAGGGGGTCCAGCTGAGAAAGGGGGGGGCGGTGCAAGAGATGTGGGGCAACCGTGTTGCCAGTGTCTTTCGCCCGAGAGTCTCGCATTGCATTGCGTATTGCAGGCAATGGCACTGCGCGCGGAGACCCGGCAGCACGTCTGCGCCCCGGAATGTGTGTTGTGCACGCCCCAGACGTGCTGCAACCCCACAGATCTGCTGCACCAGATCTGCTGCACCGCCCTCCTGGCCGCTGGACCCCTCTGGGGTCCACCCGAGCTGCGTCGGGCCTTCTCGCCGGCGCCGTAGTGCTCCGCGCCGTCGTGGAACGCCGCGCCCTGGCGCACGCGGACGCGGTCCCCGGCCCGCAGGTCGCGGGAGAGGCGCACCGGCGGGGCGCGGTGCGCCGAGGCCTTGGCCCACTCGGGCTCCAGCTCCGCCTCGGCCTCCTCGGCGGGCTCGGCCTCTGAGGCGGGGGAGGGGCAGGGGGCAGGCAGAGGGAGAGGGAGCGAGAGGGACGTGCATGTGTGATGTGCGTGATATCGTATACACAGACGTGTCCGTGTGCATGGATGCAAAGAGAGGGGGGGGGGGGGGCATCGATGCAGAGCGAGGGGAGAGAGGCGAGAGGAGAGAGCGGCAGGCCAGCTGCGCGCGCGCCACAGCTGACATTCGACCCCGCCCTCCCATCGTTCTAATGGCGCTGATGCTCCCATCCGCGGACGCATGTCGCAGCCGACCTGAAGCTCCAAAGGAATCCCCTATCTTTGTTGAGCGCAGTCGCAAAAAGGGAAACTGCATACATTGGAGGAGGTGGCGGGTGAGCAGGAGGATGGGCAGGAGGAAAAGGAAGGGGAACAGGAGGAGCATGTGCAAGGAGGTGGACGAGGACAAATATCAGCGGAACGGGAGGAGCAGTAGGACCAGGAGGAGAAGGCGGATGGGAGATGAGGAGCGAAAACGGTGAAAAAGAACTCGGAACCAGAAAAAGTAACCCGCGCTGGGGAAAAGGAACCATGCTCCACGACGGGGATCACAGCGCCGCTCCGAAAGTGAGACCCACGCTGCAGCGTGAGCACCATCTGGTGAAACACGGCACCATGCGAAAACGTCGGGCCGCATCGGGTCGCCCGATGCCCTGAATCGCATCGAATCGGGCTGACCAGAATCGATATCGAATCGGATCGATCGGGTCGAATGTGGACCCGCAAACCAACGACACCACCCCACCTACGGGCCCAAGGAGCTCAGCGCATCTCCGGAAATCCAGCGTGGGCTTTTGCCGTGGCATAGGCTACGGCGCCCAGAGGGGGCCGTGGCGCGACACGGAGGGCCGCAGGTGGGCTGGTCTCGTCTGTCCTCTGGTCGCGAAAGGGGCTCTGGAGGATGCCTCGTCCAACTCCTCTGCGTCGCCCGCCGCCAGCGAGCCGCGGAGCTGGGCGGGCTCCAGCTGGTCGAGGAGCGCCGCTTCGGCGCCCTCAGGCGCCCTCCACGGCTGCGGCGGCGCCCGCCGGGCGGCCTGCGTCGCCTGCGCACCTCCTTCGGTTTCCTCGCTCGTCCTTCCCCTCCTCCTCCATTTCGCCCCATACCTCCTCCCCCCTCCCCTCTTCATCCTCCTCCTCCTCCTCCTCCTCCTCCTCCTTCCCTTCCTCTCCTCCTCCTCCTCTCTCCTCCTCTCCTCCTCCCTCCCTCCTCCTCTCCTCTCCTCCTCCTCCTCCTCCTCCTCCTCCTCCTCCTCCTCACTCCTCCTCCTCCATCCTCCATCCTGCATCCTCCTCCATCTCCATCTTCCATCCTCCCTCCTCCTCTTCCTCCTCCTCCTCCCCTTTTTCTTCCTCCTCCTCCTCCACCTCCTCCTCCTACTACTACACCTGCGTCCTGAAAATCCTCGTGTTTCTTCTTCTCCTCGCCTTCGTCCTCCGCACATTTCCTCCCCCCATTCATTGTCATGCTCCTCCCTCCCCCTCTCCCCCTCGCTCGTGGCATCATTGTTACTCTTCGTCGTCCTGCTCGATCGGATCGTTCCCAGTCCTCCAAGAATTGGGTTCCCGCTGCAGCGTTGGCCAAATTACAGGATCTCCGCTCCCCCCCCCGGCGTTCAGCATGGCGTTCTCGCCGCAGTTCGGGCAGGACTAGTGCATCCGAGTCATTCCTCGTCATCGTAGCCCCAGTCGTTACATTATTCCTTTCCCGCGATCCTCCTGCCGCTCGTCATACTCCTCATGCTCGTGTTGCTGCTGCTCTCCTCCGAATTCCTCATCATCTAGCTCGTCATCCTGCTCCTTTTGCTCATGAGCCGCTCCCTTCTCACTTAATGTGAAACACATCTTTATCAATGTGCGTCACACGATGTGGTCATGTTGAGGAGCACGGTCCTCCAGGACACGCCGCCTGGCGGATCGATAGCAACGCAGCGCAAGCCGGGATGACCGGGACGAACTGGATGCCAGGTGGGGTTTGCGCGCGCCCAGGTGTTCCCTCGTCCCTCCTCCCTCGCCCTCCTCCGTCCGCTCTGCTTAACGCAACCCACATTGTCGGGGCCGCGCGCCTGGCCAGGCCGCCCAGCGCGGGCACGCACTC